TTTTTTTTATGTATTTGTATTTATTTCTGTGGAAACAAACAGAAGATCAGACAGTAAAATAGCTATTGCTTTTTCAGTTAGATAAACAGGTGTCGTTCTCTTGAGCATATATGACTGTATCCCAGAGCAATGACATGGAATATGCACAAGTCACTTTTAATGACTTTAGGGTGACTAAGCCAGTATGATTTACTGTATTATTTTCTTTCTAGGTGTTCACATTGGAGAACTCTGCAGTATCCCACTCTGTCATGGAGAAAGTGAGTAGTTAATCCTGCAGATTAAAGAGTGAGTGGAGCTGTGGATTGCACAAGATCACTAAGGCCAAAACACAAAGTCTGAGAAATGAATGATATATGGTTATATCATCAGTCCAACAATTAAACACTTTAACCTACTTGGTTATACAGTTTGACATGGCTCCTTGGGAAAAGTCTGTTTTCAGATAATGTTCAGATTTCAAATGGAAACAGAGTTATGCCAAAATTATTCTCATAGCCTCAGAGCAAATATTCTTATGCGAGTTGTTCCCACCGTCTGTATAGTGGTCCCTAAACCTGTTCCCACACAAAGTTGTTACAGCCTAGTTCTCTATCCCATTCCTGACTATTATTCTACCGCAGGGGTGGGCAAAATTATGGCCTGTGGGTCAGATCCACCCCTCCAGGCCATTCTATCCGGCCCTCAGAGCCCCTAAAAAATTTAGGAAATTATTATTTATTCGCCCTGACTGTCAAGGCTGACAGGAGGCGCAGGGGCAATAGGACCCAGAGGGAGCCCTTGGCAGTCTTGGAAGCTTGAGCAGCCCAGCCCCACACACCCCTAGCCAGTTTCCTGCTTTTCTGACCCCACCCTGCTCAGACATCATGTGGCTGTGGCTCCTGGCTGCGTCAGGGAGTACAGAACCGTGCTGGGTGTGTGTGTGTGCGCATGTACACATGCATGCATGCGCATGTCTGCAGGCACAGGGACAGAGTGTGTGTGCATGTTCATAGGGCGTGTTCACACCCTACCATGCACACACACCTCCCCTTACACTGCCATAAATTAACCCCAGCCACCCTCCCCCATACCCACCCATACCCCACATATCCACACCCACATGCTCCCTCACCCCACACATCCACAGCCCACACAAACCTATACCCACTCTCCACAATATACAAGGGTAAGACTTCATTTTAAGCTATTG